TATTGAAGGGAGTTGCAAATATCTGAGACGTTTGGTTTTGAACAGTAAATAATAGTATCATCTGCATATAGCTGGATGTCACAATTAGAACAGATGCTCGGGAGGTCATGAATGAAGATAGAAAAAAGCAATTGGCCCAAAGAGGAACCTTGGGGAATACCCTTGTCAATGCCTGCGAGATTTGTCTAGCTGCCCCCAAAGGACACACACTGGCGAGAGTGAAGGTAGGAATTGAACCAAAGTAAAGCGGATCTGGATAGACCCAGATTGTAAAGTTTGTCCAAAAGTAAATAGTGATCAACCAAATCAAAAGCTTTGGTCAAATCAAGAAATAATGCACCTGTAAATAAACTTTTGTCAAAACTTGAAAATATATCATTTGTGAATTTTAGAAGGGCAGTAGTTGTGGAGAAGTGTTTTCTGAAGCCAGATCTATTTTGGGATAAAAGATCATTGTCAGTGACATAGTTAGAAAGCTGGTTAAAAGTCTTTGAAAAACAAAGACGTTGACGATACTAATTATTATTGAAATAGATCTGTAGTTCTCCTATGGCCCTTTCGACATCAGCGGGACTAATTTCTGAAAATGAAAAAGAACTGCTGTAGGGTTGGGCGTAGTGGTCAGAAGCAGCTGGATGGAAAGGAGGATGAACGTGGCGAGATTGGGAGAAGTGCAGACTGAAAGCATTGGCAATAGCGGCAGGATCATTTGTCATTTCATTGTTTATAGACATATTAATAGTGCTTTTATTAGATTTACCAAGTAGATTGTTCATCTTTTTTAAGAATTGTCTTGGATTCCTAAAGTCGTTTGACAGGTTGTTTGAGTGATAATTTGATTTGGAGTTTTGAGTTAACTGTCTGTATTTCTCCCAATCCGACGAAAGCTTGGTCTGATGATATACTCTCCATGCCCTCTCTCTCTGCTTATATAAATTAATAAGGTCACCACTGATCCATGGTAAGTGAGTGCCTTTTACTTTGATTATGATCCGGGGAGTATGTTTATCAATGATATGCTTAAGTTCAGAGTAAAGAAAATTCCAGGAATCTTCTGCATAAGGGATTAAATAAAATCTGTTCCAGTTTATCTGCTGTAAATCATTGATAAAAAACTCACTATTGAACGTTCTAGTTTGACGGATTTGAATGATTTTAGGTGGAAGACGAGGTTTTGAAATTTTCCAAATGCAATATATCATGGAGTGGTCGCCAAAGCTGTCTGGGAGAATTCCAGACTGGCTGAACCTTGGGATGAGAGACAAGAGCCCAATCCAGGAGGGATTTGGATCTAGGAGTCACTCTTGTTGGTTCTGTGATAAGTTGGGTGAGATTTACAGCATCAAACATATTCCTTTCGGTAAACGTGGATGGGTCAAGCCAGTTGATGTTGAAGTCCATCCATCCATCCATTTTCTTCCCCTTAATCCATTTCTGGGTCAGGGGGGTGGCAGTCAGAGCTGCACCCAGTACACAGAGCACCAGCCCCTCACTGATCCTCCTGCAGGTGGTGAGTCCACAGGAGTTGAGATCTTTCAGTTGGGGCTTGATGTTGAAGTCACCCATTAATATTAGTTCATTATTATTATTATTTAAAGAGGACAGAGTGGAGAGTATATTTTTAAGTCATTCCGATTTTGGGGAATTTGTAAGTAAGTAAGTAAGTAATCTTTATTTATATACCGCCTTTTCACTGCACATCGGAGTCTCGAAGCGGTTTACAATTGTTATTTTTTGGGAGTGGGGGTGCCAGTACAGGAGGCACATGCCAGACCTATTGTACATATTTTTAGTGGTAGGGGAAACCGGAGCACCCGGAGGAAACCTACGCAGACACGGGGAGAACATGCAAACTCCACTCAGAAAGGCCCTGGTCCAACCAGGATTTGAACCCAGGACCTTCTTGCTGAGAGGCGAGAGTGCTATCCACTCAGCCACCGTGCCGTGGAGGTCTATAAATATTTCCAACAGTTAATTGTTTGTGTTCATGCAAAGCAACAGTTATAAATAGACCTTCATAAAGTGCTGGTGGATCAGATGGGACAGTGAGTTGAGATTTAAGGTGAGAAGAAACATAAGTTGCAACTCCACCTCCTCTTGCACGCGTATCGGCTCTATACAGTGTGTAATTGTCAAGCCTAACATCGTTATCAGTAACACTTTTGGAGAACCACATTTCAGACAAAGTAATAACAGATGGGTTATTGTAAGCAAGCCAGGCTCTTAAATTATACATTTTAGGAAGAAGGCTTCGAATGTTCAAGTGAACAATCTGGAGACCTTTACCCATTCTTGTTCAAAGTAGGGGTAATAATAACATCAATGCCGAGCAAGAGGAGGAGAGCGCGTAAAGGTGGGGCGGGGGAGAGATAACATGAGAGCCCACATACACGCACACACACACAATCATAAACGGTGTCACACACACACAAGCAAAGGTAATACAAAAACATTAAGAAAAATAAAACGAAGTTGCGATCTCAGTATGCAGTTTGCAGTTTTAATTAAAGAAAGGATTTACTAAATAATTACTTTGCAAATTTTAATTATATACAATTGCATGAATGAAGCAAAGGCCATGAGCAAAAAGTAACATACTATATGTCCTTTCTAAAAAAGTAAAGATTTCAAAGCACTCCAGAAAAGAAAATAGTGTAAAGCATATCATTTTTGCACACAGCGCCGCAAATGGCGAAGTGGCACGCTCGCTGCCTAAACAATTTCCAAGTGGTAACTTTTTGTTACTTACGTGGCAATAAAAATGATTCTGATTCTTATTCTGATCCTGATTTTTGCAACACTCAGCTAACGTTTAGGACGTAAATAAAGGACACAGTTTACTGCAAATAATACCGTCGCTTACCCTCGGGAGCAGCATGAAAGAAAACAAAGTCATGACATCTGCCACATGGGACAATTACTTGAAAACACCGAGGGCTTCAACTTCTTCAGGCGACTTGCAAAGTACATCCTTACCGCGAATGTTGACCCGAAGAACAGCTGGATACAACATTGCATAGCGGATGCTCAAGTCACTGAGCTTTTTCTTGACAAACATGCGGCGTTGCTGCATCAATCCAGCACTAAAGTCCGGATAGATGTGGATTTTAGATCCCTTGAGGACAAGCTCCTTTTTCTCACGGGATAATCGAAGGATCTTGACTTTATCCTGGAAACGTTGAAACTTTGAAAGGATGTTGTAGGACTGTCTTGGCTGACACGTCTCTGCAGCATCGCGTGGCGATCGGGGGCGGTACCAATGGAGTGGCAGACCGGGGTGGTGGTCCCTCTCTACAAGAAGGGGGACCGGAGGGTGTGTTCCAATTATCGTGGGATCACACTCCTCAGCCTCCCCGGTAAGGTCTACTCCAAGGTACTGGAGAGGAGGCTACGTCCGATGGTCGAATCTCGGATTCAGGAGGAGCAGTGTGGTTTTCGTCCCGGTCGCGGAACACTGGACCAGCTCTATACTCTCCATCGGATACTCGAGGGTTCATGGGAGTTCGCCCAACCTGTCCACATGTGCTTTGTGGATTTGGAGAAGGCGTTCGACCGTGTCCCCCGGGGTGTCCTTTGGGGGGTCCTCCGGGAGTACGGGGTCCGGGGTCCTCTGCTGAGGGCCGTCCGGTCCCTGTATGACCGGAGTCAGAGCTGTGTTCGCATTGCCGGCAGTAAGTCAGACCTGTTCCCGGTGCATGTTGGCCTCCGCCAAGGCTGCCCTTTGTCACCGGTTCTGTTCACTGTATTTATGGACAGAATTTCTAGGCGCAGCCAGGGGCCGGAGGGGGTCCGGTTCGGGAACCACAGGATTTCATCTCTACTTTTTGCGGATGATGTTGTCCTGCTGGCTCCAACGAACCAGGACCTGCAGCATGCACTGGGACGGTTTGCAGCCGAGTGCGAAGCGGCTGGGATGAGAATCAGCACCTCCAAATCCGAGGCCATGGTGCTCGACCGAAAAAAGGTGCCTTGCCCTCTGCAGGCGGGTGGAGAGGTCCTTCCTCAAGTGGAGGAGTTCAAGTATCTCGGGGTCTTGTTCACGAGTGAGGGGAGGATGGAGCGTGAGATTGACAGGCGGATCGGTGCAGCGTGCGCAGTGATGCGGTCGCTGTATCGGACCGTTGTGGTAAAGAGGGAGCTGAGCCGAAAGGCGAAGCTCTCGATTTACCGGTCAATCTTTGTTCCCTCCCTCACCTATGGTCATGAGCTTTGGGTAATGACCGAAAGAACGAGATCGCGGATACAAGCGGTCGAAATGAGCTTCCTCCGCAGAGTGGCTGGGCGCTCCCTTAGAGATAGGGTGAGGAGCTCGGTCACACGGGAGGAGCTCGGAGTAGAGCCGCTGCTTCTCCACGTCGAGAGGAACCAGTTGAGGTGGCTCGGGCATCTGTTCAGGATGCCTCCTGGACGCCTTCCTGGGGAGGTGTTCCGGGCACGTCCCACCGGGAGGAGGCCCCGGGGAAGACCCAGGACACGCTGGAGAGACTATGTCTCTCAGCTGGCCTGGGAACGCCTTGGGGTCCCCCCGGACGAGCTGGAGGAGGTGTGTGTGGATAGGGAAGTCTGGGCGTCTCTGCTTAGACTGCTGCCCCCGCGACCCGGCAACGGATAAAGCGGAAGAAAATGGATGGATGGATGGACGTTGAAACTTCACCAGTATGGGTCTCCGGACCGTGTTTGGACCTTGCCTGCACTGCAAAAAATGATCAAATATGAGATCATAATTGTTAGAATCGAGTTTTTTTTTACTTGACTTAAGTACATTCTGACTGTCTTAAAATGAGATTTGCCAATGAGACAAGCAATTTTGACTTGATTCAAGAACTATTGCTTTATTTTCTCATTCCAAGAGAAAAATATCTTGTATCTTTTTAAAACAAGACAATTTTTCTTGTTCCATTGGCAAATCTTGTTTTAAGACAGTCAAAATGTGCTCAAATTTAGATACATTTAGCCAAATTTTAGCATTTTTTTGTCTTTAATTCTGTCATCTTTTGCAGTGTGGGGGCTCCCCCCTGGGGTGCGGTGAGCCCGTCCAATGGGTGGAGGAGTCAGGAAGTTATCAGAGCCAAAAAGTTGAATGACCATGAAGCCAAGAGTGTTTTGGCCTTCGGATCCCTCTGGAACGTGAAGGACACGGAGATTTGATGACCGGCTCCGATTCTCTAAGTCCTCACCCTTGTCCAGCAGGTACGTGTTTTAAGCAGGTACGTGTTTTGCTTCTCCAAAGTTAGTACACGCCTCTCCAGGTCAGATATATGATCATGATTTGAGCCGACTCTACAATCCAGCTCAGCCACTTGTTCCCCAAGAATCTTGATTGAAGATTTCATATCGTCAACAGATGCTTGTAGATTTTCAAGTTTGGGGTTGATATGGGCCGTGATTTCATTCTTAAGCTGTTGCAAAGCGTTCAAAATGAAGGTGTTTGAAGCTGCAGCTTGATCCATGGTGGTGGAAATATACAGTGCCTTGCGAAAGTATTCGGCCCCCTTGAACCTTTCAACATTTTGCCACATTTCAGGCTTCAAACATAAAGATATAAAATTTATTATTTTTGTCATGAATCAACAACAAGTGGGACACAATCGTGAAGTGGAATGAAATTTATTGGATAATTTAAACTTTTTTAACAAATAAAAAACTGAAAAGTGGGGCGTGCAATATTATTGGGCCCCTTTAGTTTCAGTGCAGCAAACTCAGTCCAGAAGTTCAGTGAGGATCTTTGAATGATCCAATGTTGTCCTAAATGACTGATGATGATAAATAGAATGCACCTGTGTGTAATCAAGTCTCCGTATAAATGCACCTGCTCTTTGATAGTCTCAGGGTTCTGTTTAAAGCACAGAGAGAACCATGAAGACAAAGGAACACACCAGGCAGGTCCGAGATACTGTTGTGGAGAAGTTTAAAGCCGGATTTGGATACAAAAAGATTTCCCAAGCTTTAAACATCTCAAGGAGCACTGTGCAAGCAATTATATTGAAATGGAAGGAGTATCAGACCACTGCAAATCTACCAAGACCCGGCCGTCCCTCCAAACTTTCATCTCAAACAAGGAGAAGACTGATCAGAGATGCAGCCCAGAGGCCCATGATCACTCTGGATGAACTGCAGATAACTACAGCTGAGGTGGGAGAGTCTGTCCATAGGACAACAATCAGTCGTGCACTGCACAAATCTGGCCTTTATGGAAGAGTGGCAAGAAGAAAGCCATTTCTCAAAGATATCCATAAAAAGTCTTGTTTAAAGTTTGCCACAAGCCACCTGGGAGACACACCAAACATGTGGAAGAAGGTGCTCTGGTCAGATGAAACCAAAATCAAACTTTTTGGCCACAATGCAAAACGATATGTTTGGCGTAAAAGCAACACAGCTCATCACCCTGAACACACCATCCCCACCTCAGCTGTAGTTATCTGCAGTTCATCCAGAGTGATCATGGGCCTCTTGACTGCATCTCTGATCAGTCTTCTCCTTGTTTGAGATGAAAGTTTGGAGGGACGGCCGGGTCTTGGTAGATTTGCAGTGGTCTGATACTCCTTCCATTTCAATATAATTGCTTGCACAGTGCTCCTTGAGATGTTTAAAGCTTGGGAAATCTTTTTGTATCCAAATCCGGCTTTAAACTTCTCCACAACAGTATCTCGGACCTGCCTGGTGTGTTCCTTTGTCTTCATGGTTCTCTCTGTGCTTTAAACAGAACCCTGAGACTATCAAAGAGCAGGTGCATTTATACGGAGACTTGATTACACACAGGTGCATTCTATTTATCATCATCAGTCATTTAGGACAACATTGGATCATTCAAAGATCCTCACTGAACTTCTGGACTGAGTTTGCTGCACTGAAAGTAAAGGGGCCCAATAATATTGCACGCCCCACTTTTCACTTTTTTATTTGTTAAAGTTTAAATTATCCAATAAATTTCGTTCCACTTCACGATTGTGTCCCACTTGTTGTTGATTCATGACAAAAAAATTAATTTTTATATCTTTATGTTTGAAGCCTGAAATGTGGCAAAATGTTGAAAGGTTCAAGGGGGCCGATTACTTTCGCAAGGCACTGTACCTGCGGTTGGTGTAGGCCCTGATGAATCAGACAGGTTTTGAGGCCTAAGAACTCAATAGGCGAACCAAAAAAGTCCTCGTCAAAAAGTACACAATCAAACAGTTATTTCGAGATGTGTATAAAAAAGAGAGAAAATGGAGGCTTAAAGTGGTTCTCACCCCCGCTCCTCGAGGCTTACGTCCCTCACATTTCCTGTTCAAATCTTCCTCTAAATGGGCGTAGCCTGGAGGACTAAAGGGGGCGTGAACGAGACTGGGCCGTTTACATTGCTCTGGGCGGGGGGTTGCTGACGTCAGGTCTTGGTTCAGACGTCAGGTCTTGCTGCCGCGCCAGTGTTGGCGCCAGATTCAAAATTCAAATGTAGTAATACAGGTCGCCAGCAGATGGCGCCTCACAGACGGTTTTAGGCAGAAAGTTTAACTTTCAACTAATTTGCACCAAAGTGACAAAATTATGACCAGGATATGTAGACAACACTATTGGACACTCATTTATACCGTTTATCAGCAAAAAAAAGTGACTGAGATTTAGGGAGCTCACTCAGTCAGTGCTCACTCAGCCAGTGCTGCTGCGTCAGCCATTTACATTTGTAAATATGATATCTTTCGTCTGTAAAAAAAGAAATAATGGGCGACAACTGGGAGCATTCTCCCAGTGAATACTATTATCCGGACGAGTTCAAAGAGCCAGAGGAAGTAATAACGACGAAAACACAACTAACAGTCAAGAAGAGATTGACAACTTCGTTGACAGTTTGGTTGCATGTGTTTTTGCTAGTTGAAACCGATCGATATTTGCATAAATAAAAAATAGTCATATAATAAAAAATGTCTTAACCTCGCTTGCTCGGTCTGATGTTTCTCTGTACAGACCTCGCGGTCGTTTAATAAGCCGTTAATATATTAATGATAATTTCTGTAAATATGCCAGAATTAGCCAAGCAGCTATTTTTCATCTGTCGTCCCATGTCTCCTGAAAGATAAAAACATGTTTGCGCTCAAGCGCAACCACTGTTAAACTCCTACATCTGTTTTGGCTCGTGCACAAAAGTTTGGTATACCCAAATGTCTTTGCTTATTTAAACACATCTTACATCTCACATGCTTGTGTGATGCATCATTTTAAAGCTAGAGCCTTCTAGTTTATGTAAATATATACTAAAATAATGTATGTCATTCCTATTTTACTCTGCATCCTTTGAAGTTTGGGAAAAAAACCTGTTTTTTTAGCCTCGCCTAAAAAATTCAATGTATAAATGCCCTAAAAAGCCTACTTCATTGGAAGAAGAAAATTTTCAAAGCCAATATGTTCATTGTGTTGTTGACAACACTTTCCTAAAGCTTCAGACTTGGGTTAGGGTTAGGGAAGTTTTATAGTTTTTATGCAGTTTCTCTTTTTCATCAAGTAGCGCCATTAGGAACCAAATTGGTACAAAGTGAGCCAAACCGTGCCAAATTGCTTTACTGAAATTTCTTCATCAGTTTTGGTACTTATAAGTTACTAATCTGTGTGATTTTTTTATTTTTTATTTAAAATCATTTTTTTAGTAGTTTAAATGCATATTAAATATGCGCAACGACGAAACGGCGTCTTTACGCACACTTTTACTGTGAAAATTAACAGAAGTTCATTAATGTCCCACCCATCATTAGAAAGCTTTTTTTATTGGCTACATGGTCATGTCAATCATTCAGGTATAGCACATTTCCCTAGCTGCACAGGCTAATAACAAGCCGAAACGCTGCTCAACCCGGCGCAAAGGCTTGCTGCTTGTCATATTCACAAGGGGATTGTGGACAGACAACTGCTCCTATCTTTTCATGGAACCTCTCATTTGAAAGCTAGTTAGAGTTAGGAAACACGTGAACACACTGTTTTTGGGGTTAAACCATAGACTGTATATATTAACAGACAGAGTCACGCCTATCTCTGCCGTTCTAACTAATGGGCCAAAAAATGTGCTCTACTGGAGCTATCCAAAATGGCCGCGAGTGGTCCCACCCACAAGAAAATTGTGAAAAAACGCATCTGCGCATGCGTCAGCCGGCGCAGCTCCATTCATTTGAACGAGAGACTTAAAAAATTCACAGCAAGTAAACTAGAGTGGACCAAAACACTCCCCTCAGCATTGACACACATGTGAAACGGAGCTTTGGGCCAAGAGCCAGCTTTTGGTCCATCCTGTAAAGACGTTTTCGAGAGGTCTGCCAATGCTATATGTTAGCATTGGCTAATTCTACTTCTGGGTCCACCCCCATCGGCCCGGGGTGGTATTGCAGCATGTCAGCGCACGTCATTTTGGCCACTTTTGAGCTGGGACCCGCCCCCACTGGGTTAAACAAAGCTCAAACTTGGCAAAATGTGAAAGAGCAGTCAGAACCTCTTTCGGAGCGTTTTTTTTTTTTTGCAACAGAAAAACGCACATTTTTGGATTATTTCTGAAGAATGGATTATACTTTGGGAAATACAAGTGGATATTCTTTTTAAATGAAGAGTTACGGAGAGAAAGGGACTAAGCAAAGATGGGGAAAGTCTTATTTGTTGGAGCAGCAGAAGACGAAAGGTAAAAAACGTATAAAACATAATATGGGCACAAAATAAATCACGTTTGTATATCTTTTTAATGCAAAGTCTGATATTGTTTACACTTACATATAAATATAGCTGAGAAAATAAGCTAATCTTTTTAAAAGTTAAAACAAACAATATTGTCTTTGTTTTGCTCCATCAGCTGTTGGTGAAAGGTTACAGCCCTGCGACTTATTTCTAGTGCAGTCTGTATGTGGGGAAACTATACTTTTTCCACAATGTGCTGTATCTTCAAGTAACAAAACGACCACCTCCACAAACAAACTGCAAGTCCGTCATATTTTATTCGGCACAAAATCAAGATCAATTCAAGAATATTTTAATGAGATGTGTTAACCAGTATTCCTAAAATGTGTGGAAAGTGTCATATTTACGAAGTACTCTGACTTAGCCTGAAACCAGCTTAATGGAAAAAAATAAAATTGACAGCTACAGGGTAAAGTGCATTTATTATGGGGCAAAAAAAAAAGATTTGCAGTCACACTACC